TGGGAGTCAGCCAACTTGAGATTTGCCAAATGTGGCCACTGAGAAAGTGAAAAGCTAAAGGCCGGCATATTGGAACAAATCTTTGGTAATACCGCAACTTCAGCAGTTAACAGAGGAGACGGAGTCATAAGGGGTTTCAAAGTACATGTGAGGCTGACCGAGGATATCGAGGACATGTGACCAAGACCATTGATTGCCAGTGAGGATCTTTCTTTTGGCAATCCCAAACGGTTAGCACATTTTTCAGTTATGAAGCTGGCTTGACTGGCAGAGTCTAATAAAACCCGAGCCTTTTGATAGTTATTACGTGAGTCGAGGATTTTAACTTGAGCAGTAGACAGAAGGACCGTAGAATTAGAAGAGACCACATTGGTCATGGAGTTGACCTGAGATATTGTGGGTTCCGAAGATGCAGTCTGAGAAGAGGTTACTGACCTCATATGATCAGAAATGGGAGTAGCCTGCGTTGAGGCAACCTTATTATCAAAATGGAGGAGAGTATGGTGAGATGAGCGGCTGCACACCCTGCACACTGAACGAGAGGTACAATTTATTGCTGAATGCCGGTTACCCAAGCACTTTGTACACCAATTATTTTGTTTTACAGTTTCGTATCTCTCTTGGGGAGATTTTGAGGCAAAAATGGAACATCTATATATTGTATGAGGCTGTTTACAAAGAGAACATTTGTTATTCGGAGAATTAGTTTCAGTTAAAAGAGTAGCAGTCGATGGGGAAGAATTATATCGGCTCAAAGGCTTCGAGCCTCTATAGTTTGAGTTTGAATTAGTATTGCACTTCTGTGGAGCTTTAGCGACACCCATAGAAGCAAGAGCAATACATTGCTTCTCTAAAAATTCATAGAGCTTCTTATAAGTCGGAATGGCTACAGAGGCGTGTTCGAGTTCAAAACGACGCAGAGTATCAGCATCCAATTTTTTGCTCATCAAATGAAATAGTACGAAATCCCAACTTTCGACTGGAAAATTCAAATTTTCAAGAGCTTTAAGATTATCTGAGAATGTGTCTAATAAATTCCGAAGATTTCGTACTGATTCACTTGTGAGTTTTGGAGAGTTATTTATTTCTTCCCAATAATATGACGATAAAAGTCTTTCATTTTGGAATCGAGTTTTCAAATTTGTATATGCAATGGCGTAATTATCAGCAGTAAGTGGGAGATTTTTGATTAAACCCAACGGATCTCCACTGACAACGGATAAAAGATACTGAAATTTCTCAATGTCAGACAAAGAATCATTATTGTGGATGAGAGAGTCAAAAAGATCAATGAATGTAGGCCATGATTTGAGAGTACCATCAAAAGTAGGAACATTTAATTTTGGCAATTTTACTTGGGAATATTTTGGAACTGGGATATTTACTTGAGGTTCACGTAATTCGAAATTGATCTTCTTTATACTATAGTAGAGTCTATCTACCTCCATGCGAAAGACTTTTTCAGCTTCCAAGTCAGCGTCTTCTAGAACGGATATAATTTGTATGACAGAAACATGACTAGAGTTGAACTCCGCATAAATGTCAGAGAGTTCATCAGTTCTGATTTGAAGAGCAGTTCTCATAGAGGCATCAGTGACAGCTAGTAGTGCAAGTTCATGGATTTCCAAGATTCTATCAGCTGAAATTTGCCGCTGAGCGCGATATTGTTTGAGTTGCTTTGCCGCCATATTATTGAAAAGATTGGTTCTCTGTTCAGCAGACAGCGTAAAAGAAGTATTTTTTATAATTGTTCAAGAAAAAAAAATTAAAAACTAATGATGTGTTCGACCATTCCTGAATTGTGTATAGCAGTTTATCAAAATTCCAATTATATGGGCCAAAGTTCACTTTTAGGATGGCAGGTAACAAAAACTCATTGGGGATTTTCGCTTGGAACACAAAAACACTGTTCCAAAGACAAGTTTTTACGCACCACTAGAATGAATGAATGAAACTAAAGAAATATATTTATTTAATTAAATCAATTGATCGATCAATTTTGAGATTTAATTGTGTACTTATAGGTATCTTTGAGGAGTTTTCTTTTCTTAAAACATTTTATAAAACACTTGGAGAATAATTTTTAACCGGCAATACGATAGAATTAAAAATAATATATTTTTATTTCTAATGATTGTAAAGAGAATATGAGAGAATGAGATATACTAAGAATAAAGTTTAACTTTGATTGCGTAATCCGACTCGAAGTTGACCAAAAATGTTTGCACACGGACGAAAAAACGGGAAAATTGCTCCGTCAAACACAGCAAAATGGGCCTACCTGGCTAATACTCCTTCCAGAGTCCTTTCCATTTACTGCTTGGTTGCAACCACCTTTTTTTCTCTTGGAGGAGGGATGCTGGTTCAAATGGCTCGCAGTGGTAGTTTTATCTTGTCAGAGGTATCACTTTATTGCCGGCAAAATGCGATCGAAAGAGCAGTGCAATCCATCAACATGTTCTGATCACTGATAGCACATGAGTGAGTAAATGAAAATAGGAGAGCGCACTATCATTCTTGACTCTTCTCGATAGGTACCACATCAAGCTGATATTTTGACAGAGCATATAGTCGCGAAGTGAATTACACTAGACGCACAAAATTAGAAGCAAATATAAGAACTGAAAATTGATTTGATAAAGTATATTTGAATGAATTATTCTCAATATATCAAGCTACGACAAAAAACATATTGAAAAGAAAAAATATATAAAAATTAATAATATATTATCTCATTTATATATATTCTATTACTAAGACTAAACACTGTTCTTGCGGTGTCTCAAGTATGCTTTGACAATATTATTGTGATTCATTGTGTGTCATTCAACCTATTATTCACACAGTTTGAGGTTTCAACTAATATTCTACTGAATATATTGTAATGATATTCCCCTTAAAGGGGCACTAGAATCATCAGCAGGAAGGCAGGAGTACAACAATCATCCTGTAACACGCATCCCAGATCGTTCTCCAACCTCCCAATGATTCCTACATGCACCGAATTTCCACACTCAATATATGCCGCAGTGACAAATAACGTCACAGAAGATTCTGGAATGTTCTGGAAACAATCGATGGAACATTTAGAGAGAGAGAATTTGTTCTAAGAAGCTTCTAGAACAAAAAGAAGGAGACGGAAGATCATTCGAGAACGTTCTCGAACAAAGGCTGCCAAGTGATCTCATATATAAACGACCGAACAACTGCAGTCAGTTAGTTAATCAGCGAGTGTCAGAGAGACAGTTATAAACCGCGTGATATAAATCGTTTTACATAAATAGTAGTTATAAGTTCGATATAAATTAGTGTTTCTTTAGTCAAAATAAATCAGTTCGAAAATAAATAGTGTCGTGTTCGCTTCTGCACCCGAATAACGTAACAATATGAAATTTTGAGTTGTCTATCTACATCATCAGAAGAAAGTTCGAACAATATACAGGGTGTCCCTAAAAGGTGCGGAAAAAAAGCTACCACGAGTTCCTGAGGCGTAAATATGACGATCTAACTCAACTTACCTCAGTCCAAAAGTGGATGATTCCAGAGATACAGTGTGTCAAAAGTTCAATTTGATTTTCATTTTTATAAATATTTTTTTTATTAATTGGTGTATTGTTACAATATTTGGCTTGGGGGGGTTTTGCTGGTTGAGAAATTAGAATTTGCTATCATTTTTATTGTAAAGTTAAGAGGGTGCCACCTGCGGAACCTTGCACACATTTAAAACGAAATAACTTTTTTGAGTCACCCCATATTTAATTTTTAAATGAAAATTCGGATAGTCCAACGTCTTTTACATAAAATATGTATACGTGGTGAGAGTTGATTTGGGCAGCTGTTTTTGAGATATCTGGATTTTAAAAATTCACTTCGTAAATGGTCAGGTCTAAATTATTGTAATAATAAAATTGAAGCGTAGGCGGTGAATTAAAATAACGTCACTAAGAACTGACCTGGGTCGAATCGAGTCTAAAAAACAAGTCAAGACAATTGTCAAACAAATAATAAAGTTCTTTTTGTCATGGCCGCAATGTATACCAACGAAGAAATGACCGATATGTTATTGGTTTTTGGATATTGCCAGGGAAATGATTTAGAATCTTGCATACGAGTATACAGTGAAAGATTTCCTAATCGTCGCTTACCAAACCATAAAACCTTCAATCCTAAACTCAGCATAATTTTTTTGAATTGAATTAAATTAAACTTTTGTTGTTAATAAATCTTCTATTCCTAATGACTATTTTAACTGGAGAATAAAATTACCAACACATTTATGTACCTTCTTCTTTTTATTTCTAAGTTTTTGGTGACGTTATTTTAATTCACCGCCTACGCTTCAAATGTGTTCAATTTTATTATTACAATAATTTAGACCTGTCCATTTACGAAGTGAATTTTTAAAATCCAGATATCTCAAAAACAGCTGCTCAAATCAAGTCCTACCACGTATACATTTTTTATGTAAAAGACGTTGGACAATCCGAATTCTCATTTAAAAATTGAATATGGGGTGGCTCAAAAAAGTTATTTCGTTTTAAATGTGTGCAAGGTTCCGCAGGTGGCGCCCTCTTGAGTTTACAATAAAAATGATAGCAAATTCTAATTTCTCAACCAGCATAATCCCATCAAGCCGAATATTGTGAAAATACACCAATTAATAAAAAAAATATTTATAAAAAATGAAAATCAAATTGAACTTTTGACACTCTGTATCTCTGAAATCATCCACTTTTGGACTGAGGTAAGTTGAGTTAGATCGTCATATTCACGCCTCAGGAACTTGTGGTAGCTTTTTTTCCGCACCTTTTAGGGACACCCTGTATGAACCCATTAAAACAAAATGATAGTTGCTGACCTCTAAGTTGAGACTGAAAAAAGTAATCTTCCAGTTCTGAGTGGTGATACCCTATGCAGACAACTTATTGGGAATACCCTGTACACCTGTATAGCTATCGTAATTATCATTCATTCTTAGTTACTGATGCTTTGTTTTACAGATATCATTTCACGCAGTATCCATTCCCGTTTTGGGTGTACGACAAGTATGAGATCAGCTACTATGTTAAACTGATACATGAAGGAATGGCCGATTATCATGGAGGTATTCTACTTTGATTTATTGCACTTATACTGTTGACTCTCATTATCCGTTGTTGGCCTTTTTGATGTTGTGTGGAGTTATTTTTGGTGACCTTGTTTGAGGGGAAAAAGTACAAGATTTCACTGAAAGATCTAGAATGAATGGAGTTGTCCCAGGCATCACCAGTCGCACTTGGTAATGATGCTTCTTTGTTTTTCCATATTTCAAATGTACTAGATGTTCCTTCAACCTAGTTCCAATAGATCTCCTAGCTTGACCTACATGCAGAGTTACCCATTTGAAGGCCTGTCAACCTCATAATTATTTCATTTATGTAGCGTAATTCAAATTTTTTTTAAATGTAGAGGGAGGAAAGGTGTACTTTAAGGCTGAGCAGCGTCCACTGTTTTCGAAAACCAAGGCCTACTAGGAAAAATCCAGAATCCATATTAGCGATTATTTAGAAAAAATCCGCGTATGCCACTGAAATTGGCGTCCTCTGATCTGATCTGATCTGTACAAAGTTTCATGAAAAAATATTCAACATTAACGATTTTACAGCTTGTCTCATTTCAAACGGCCCCCCTCTATATCTCAGCTGTATGAATATCCATCAATATGATACATTTTTCAATTTTGGACAGTGCCGTGTTTTTTAATTGAAATAAAAGGGGTCGATTTTCATAAAATGTTTTGCAAGAAAACTAACTTCATCACGTCACCTCCGCCTCATTCCAAATAAACAGGATTGGCTTCATTTTTTTCATTTTCAGCATCGGAAAAATAGTGAATTCAAATTAACTGCAAATATGGAACGTTCAATAGCTCTGAGTTTCCGAGTAAATAATTAATACGTTCGCAAAAATGATGTTTTTTCGAAATCCTTCATAGGAATCATATAAAAATTCACATATGGGGGTTTGAGATCATGAAGAACAATATCATGAGGTCAGTTTTGCTGTGAAAAAATTTCTAATATTATTTCATAAAAAAATCACCCTTTTTCATTTTAAAACGCAAGGCACTGTCCAAAAGGATGTATGTCTTTGAAAAACTGATCATATTGATGGTCATTCATACCGGTCCCAATTTGGTAAAGATCGCACGAATAATAGCTGAGGCGGGGTCCGTTTGAAATGAGACACGCTGTAGATTCGTTGATGTTGAATATTTTTTCATGAAACTTGGTACATATCTATTTCAGAGGACATCGATTCCAGTGGAGTACTCGGATTTTTTTTACCTAGTAGGTCTTGATTTAAAAAAGAAGTACGCCACTCGGCGTCCTTTCTTCCATTTCCATTTCAAACAATAATTCTTGAAGATCGCTTCATAAATAAAGAATTTATGAGTGTGGCCCGCTTTCAAATGGGGCACTCTGTATGTAGAACATACTAAAAGACATAATGAAATAATATTCGAGGAACATCTAGCACATTTGATGCATGAAGATGTTGAAAAACAGCAGTACCGAGGGCGACTGAGGAGGCCTGGTGTGCCAAACCAGTACCTTCAAAATGGTTTAGTGAATCAAAAAAATGCGGTTTTTACAATTTTTTTGAGAAGAATTGGAACAACGAATATACCAAAAATAATGTAGGTCCTGGGACCTATTTCGAATGGCTCGAGTCGAAAATAATTTTGAAAAATTAAGGAAAAGGCCTTCATTTTTTTTTTGTAAAATCTGATTCACTTTACCAACCACTTTGGGGTCAAATAGATCAGGCATTAAAAACTTATTTTGAAATAATCAGAGGTGAAGTGAATAAAAAAAAAAGTTTTTTTGATTTTTCAATTATTTCATGTTGTGATTGCATAACATACATACATAAAATATATCCAATCACAAAATATAAACTTCACTTTCATAGAAATTCTAATGAATCATTTTACCCATTATAGTGACCAGAAGTAAAAAAAATACTGAAATTCAACTAGAAACATTTGGACACAAATTTTATCGAATATTCGTTCAGTAATAACTATTAAACACATTTAGACTGGGATGCGAAAACGTTTCAATCTTGCAGGTAGAGCAAACAGCGCCCTCTTTTCTACTGGAAACACCCGACTGATTGATTTTACCCACTATGATTCACTTACAACCGTTTGACGGTACTTTCTTGTTCTTGTTGACAATTAGGAAAATCATTTTTTGTTCACTGGGCTAAAAGTAAATCACCAAATTGTTTTCAAATATTCGCGAAAATCACGAAGTACTAAATGGCGCTATTTAAAGTCAAATCAACGTCAAATTTCAAACAAGAACATTGCCGTATGTTCCCATTAAAAATGGTTATTTCGAAATCCTATTGCAAAATAGTAAATATAATAAATTGACTTCGTGAAATCTTCATATTTGAAGAAACAAGGTTTCCAGTATGGAGAAAATAACTGTGCAAATGTGGACAATGGTGGAATTCATCATTATCCACATCAAACCTCAGAAGAAAATGATCAAAATTCACTCAAAAAATGGTCGCCTCTGTTGTCATTGTTGTTCATACTCGCAAAACTTGTAAAGTTGGCCACCAGAGGCCGTACACTTCGTGATGCTCGCAAAAAATCTACTGATGGAAGATGGAAATGACTTTTTTTTTTATTTCTTAGAGTACATACCTAAGGATCCACTACAATTGAGCTATTGGTTTGTACAAAATTATCAACTGAGTCATGATGAACGTTTGCACATTCTAAAACTGAATTCTACACTTGAACGGTTGAGGCTCGAGTATAAGTTCCTGAAACTGGTGAGTGTTTCTTATACAAAAGACGTTGGATAGTCAAGTTTAGTGCCATTCGTTTTAGGAAAGGACTATTAATTGCAATAACTGTGGTATCCTTCTAACAGATCCTAGCAAAGTGTTTGCAATGTCAAAGGATGGTATCCAGAGTAATTATGTAAATCCTGGTAGGTGCAAAAATACTTATCATTTTTCAAAATTATTCCACAAATTTTAAACATACAGTGTCATTCATAAAGTCGGCATCATATGGGAAAACTTTTATTAATGACCTATTTTGAAATTCGAGTCGGACGTTAAGTTTTGCTCCAAAAATGATAAAAAATGGCCTACTCAATCGGGGTCACGTGACTTTCCCTACATGTCAAAAGTGACATTTTTTCAAATTAATCGCTGTAAGTAGGCTTATTTGTTCGAATATCGAAAAAGTTTACTTGAAAAAGTTGTTTCTATTCAAATTTTACATATGTGACTCGGATTATTACATTTTTTAGATTTCGATATTTTTGAATATTTTCGAAATTTCTGTGATATTAAAAAAATTGTAAATTCGATAAAACTACTTCATACCAGTAGTTTCATCATGCTACTAACTTTCAATTACTAATTATCACTAATTATCGACAAAAATATGATTTTCTCCAGAAAATGATAATCTCCGCCTCAAAATTCTGTTATGTTTGATGCAAACATAACATCAAAATTCTGTTTTGTTCGAGTCAAGCATTCAAAAACGAAATTCATTTGAATTTTTTTTTCAGTACCGAAAATTTCAGTTCAAATGAATTTCGTTTCTAAATGCTTGACGATATATCAACTTTGCATCTAACATAACAGAATTTGTAAGCGGGTATTATCATTTTCTGAAGAAAATCATATTTCTGTCCATAATCAGTGATAATAAGTAATTGGAAGTAAGTAGCATGAAAAAGCTACTGGTATGAAGTAGTTTCGTGGAATTAACAATTCTTCAAATATTACAGGAATTTCGAAAAATTAAAAAAAAATCAAAATCTAAAAGTTGCAATAGACAGATCAAATTTGACAAGAATGTGTGAAATTGGAATAGAAACAACTTTTTCAAGTAAACTTTTTCGATATTCGAACAAATAAGCCTACTTTCAGCGATTAATTTGAAAAAATGTCACTTTTGACATGTAGCGAAAGTCACGTGACCCCGATTGAGTAGGCCATTTTTCATTATTTTTGAAGCAAAACTTAACGTCCAACTCGAATTCCAAAATAAGTCATTAATAAAAGTTTTTCCCATATGATGCCGACTTTATGAATGACACTGTATAAGACGCGAGGAACCGAGCCAATAAGAACGTAAACCTGGACCGCCTGGGGTAGTAATCTACCCCATTGGTTTTGATTGAATTTCAGGACTTTCAGACGAAAAATACTGTTGTCTGATGTGGAATTCCATTATTTATAACAATAATAAAATAAACAACATTGATAAAAAACAAACCTTATTTGATTGATATACTTTAATTGAATACTGAATTTCAAATAACGATTTTTCAATTGTTTCTCAATTTTTTTGTTGAGGTTGAATTTCCATTTGTACAGACACGAATTCAGATATAGAACATTTCAAGTCCCTTCCGCGTGGGGTATGGACATACCCCATGCAAGAACAATTCACCAACTGTTTAGTATGATGTGTGCAGAACTAATGACGAAACACATGCAAAAATTTGTTAATTGATCATATTTAGCAACTGAGCTAGCGTGATTTTTCATTGCCATGCAGATTAACCCAGATATGCCTACCGTCCTTCTATAAGGACACTGCGTGAAAAGATTTCTACTGCGTGATTTGGGTCTTCGCGGATTTTCTCATTGATGGCCCTACTCATATCAAATGAAAAAACATTCGTTGTCGAATATTATCAGCACAGCTTATCGTCATTAAGTGAATTCAAATGTAAATCTATCCAATTTGGCTAAGCAGATTGATGTCAATTCGGTTGGATTAGCAATTATGACTGAAATATTTCGATTTTTGATTTCGCGGCGAAATGATAGTTCTTTGTAATCATTTTTGTTGTCAAAAATAGTTCAATGCATTGTTTGTTTTGAAGAAACCTCAAGTTTTCAAATGTTCTTTGAGAAGGACAGTTGGCATATAAGCAACTTTTTTTCAGTGGTTTCACCTTCTACACTCATTGGAAGATAATAATAATAATATAAGTATTCGAAAACGATTACAAAATATACATTGGAATAAACAGATAGGTATTTTGAATAAACTGGGAAAAACCTTACGAAGTTAACCTTGTAGTAAGGATAAAAAAAATTAATGTACATAGGACAATATAGTATATTATGTAACAAGCGTTATAAACGTCCTTTTAGTAATGAGTATTTTAAGCACGAGCGGAGCGAGTGTTTAATAAACGAGTGTCTAGAAGAGTTTATAAACGCGTTACATACTATGATTTTTCTACGAACTCCGAAAATTACATTAACATACCTGATATTCCTGCTACCTTCAAAATAATTCGAATGAAATGGGAATGGAGAACATAATACATGCAACTGCATGCAACCAGCGAGACACGACGTATAAGTGATATCGGTTGTAGATGTGTCCAGAATAAATAAATTGTTCTCAAAGATGGATGCTTCATTTTGACACTTCTTGGAGATATGCAAGTACCAGAACATTCTCATCGATTTCACTTTCGTCTACTTTTCGCATATATTTTCAATGAAGAATTCTGATACAAACGAATATTGTTTTGAATAATTCTGATACAAAATTCGAAAATAACAGTTGACAGTTGATTCAATTGACAGGCCAGACATGTCTCAAATTACAGAAGCTGTGTTTAATGAACTGCGTTGCCATGGTAATGTGTTTAAGAAATCGTGTTGCCATGGTAACGTGTTTAATATTTCGAATAAATCACAGATCGACAATCCGTGATTAATCGATCATTTAGCGTGGTACATATCCGTACGATAAATGCCATTTTAGTTATGTGAGTAGAAAAAATATTTAACAATATCAAATTATCACAAGGGAAAACTTGTCAATTGACAAGATTTAATCCATAATATATAGTGTACTGAGCATTTCATTCAATACGCATAATAGATATTGAACAATCTCAAATATATGTGGCAATTAGGTCTCCTCTCAATTTTTGTGAACCAGTTACGCCGATTAGGACTTGAGCGATGAAGAGGAGTGGACATTTCAGTACGATTTAGTGATCTCATAATATTTTTCATAACACCGAAACGTGGAGGGCGTTTATCGAGCCGAGGAACATATAAGTTTGTATCCAGTGCATGCTAGATATGTGTGAAGACAATGCGTTGCAATTTCATAGGATGCAAGACGGTTCTCTTGATCATTTATCTTCTCGCAAAAGAGAAGCCATTCCAATTTTGGAAGGTAACCAGAGAACATTTTCCAAACGTTCAAAACCTTCTCCATTAGATTACGCAGATTGCCGTTAAGATCATTCGATGCTAAAGCACGAGAAGAGAACTAGATTCCGATATTATCAAAAACGTTTTCAGCAAATGCGAAAAGTGCATCTCTGAGTTACTTGTTTAAAGACCTATTTTGACAGAGACTAGTTGAATCATATTCTTCATTCGATTGTATTTTCCGAATGGTTTTTATGTCCTCTTATACTATATTCTGGATATTGAAATAATATAGAAACTTGTATTCAAGTAAATGTCACTAATTTACCTTCTCTCCTTTCAACAGGACACCATCTCTTCGGAAACTGAACTAGTTTTACACAACAAAATCGGAATTCGAAAAAAATTATATTCTCAGGCATATCTGGGTTAAGCAAAAAAATCGTAATTTGATATCGCCTGTGATATTTTCTACCCCGCGCGGGTTAAATATGTTATGAACAGGAACGAGTGCTTCATCCTGCTCAAAAAGGTGATTTCAAATCCTTAAGATCACTTCATAGTTTATTCCCTTGACCATTTTTATGCATTAAAGGAAACATTCAGCAGAGTTTTGATCCATGGATTTATTATTGAGGTTAGTCATACTTTTGTAGGTGGGCACGTATATGAAACAGTGACAGTCATTTCAGCAAAAAATTTTCTGCTAGACGGGAATCCTTCAAGGCAATTTTCCTGGTTTCCAGGGTGAGTATCTAGGTATTCGACTTGAGTCATCTCTCAATAATAGTAATTTATGTAACGAATCCACAAAATAATGTTTTTTGGATTAATAAACAATAGACAGGATTCTGCAAGTCTGAAAAATAGTTCTCAACTATTCGCGAGATTCACGAAGTGGGCGACATCTAGGTTACTTCAAACTGGGGAAACAAACTGTTGTCTATAAATAAAGTGCATAGACTACATTGCATACAGCTTGCTGTAGCTGTAGTTGTCAAACTTGTCAATGACATAAAGTGTTGGCACTGTTGGTTGTGTTGAGTTGGTTAATTTTTTTTACATTATTACATTTTTATTAAACTACTCAACACTAATTTCGTCGCACACCAAAATGTCGCCCCTGTTATAATGTGAATAACTTTTTTCAGTTTGGAACAATTTGAATTTGGTTCACACTGTTATATAGCCCAGTCCTTCAGCTATAATCTGGTACTTCATTGAAACATAAGGGTATTCACATAAAATCTCTACATGGTGTTTTCCGACACTGTGCAAAATTTCGTAATATTCAAAAGGCTCTCAAATGGTGGAAAAATTTTTTTTCTCAACTTCGACAACAGAGGCATGAAGATGATCTCATTACCTCGAGATATTTCGCGAATCAACTTCCTATCTCTCTTATTTACAGAGTGATCTCAAAAAATCAACATTTTGGTTTTGCAGCCATAACTTTTTTCCACGTCAACCGATTTTAGAAATCTCAGGCTCATTTTGAAGATGAAACTTCAGATGAAGAGATCTGAATAACAGAATTGACTCAAGATGGCTACTAACCTTTCTTTCACGTTTATTGTCATGCTTAGCGCAGAATAAATAGATTGTTCTCAAAGATGGATGCTTCATGCTTCATTTTTACACTTCTTGGAGATATGCAAGTACCAGAACATTCTCTTCGATTTCTCTTTCGTCTACTTTTCGCATATATTTTCAATGAAGAATTCTGATACAAACGAATATTGTTTGAATAATTATGATACTAAATTTGAAAATAACAGTTGACAGTTAATACAATTGACAGGCCAGACATGTCTCAAATTACTGAAGCTGTGTTTAATGAACTGTGTTGCCATGGTAATGTGTTTAAGAAATCGTGTTGCCATGGTAACGTGTTTAATATTTTGAATAAATCACAGATCGACAATCCGTGATTAATAGATCATTTAACGTGGTACATATCCGTACGCTAAATGCCATTTTAGTTATGTGAGTAGAAAAAACAAATAACAATAATATCCTGTTTGAATTCCAATATCATATGCTTCACAATATACAAATCAATTGATTCATGATGACAGAAGTGTCAAATTGACTTTTGTTCAAATGCCGTCAACTGTCCATGGCATACTATACCTTTGTAATGCATAATGATGGATCGAGAGATGGACCGCCTGAAGTACAACACAACACAAAGAATGATGCTTCGAAAAATGCTTTCGTTGATAATATCATATATATATCATGGGATCAAAGGTACATTTCCTCACACATATGCCTTTCCTCCCTTGATATATAAATAGCTATTAGTCCCGTGGTTTATGTAGGCACGGTGAAGGAAACATGGAGAATCTAACTTAACTATTTTCGTTATTGTGAAGCTTCCGGTTTTTCCCACTTCATATTTGTGATTTTCGATGGGTCACCAATCGCCAAGTATTTTTCAACTTTTTCTGATTCCTCTCATGATTTTGATTCAAATTAACGTATTATACCCCATACCTTAAATGAATAACTCAAATTCAAGTATTTCTAGAAAAGTCAGCCAATTAAACATACTCCATTTTTATGTGAATTGAAATTTTCAATGTTATACAGTGATTAAATCGTGAATATAGAAGGTTAAACGGATCACTGACCATGATCAAAACCACTGAATGATTTACAGGGTCCGCAGAAATAGAGGTTCAAAAAGTGAATGTCAAACATTGAAAATCTCATTTTTTTTAAATGGAAACCCCCTCGTTTCCTTGTAAATCAATCAATTACATCCATGAACAATCAAAAATTGAACAATATCACAGATGAAGATTATGTTTATCACAGATGATAGTACTTTTTGCAAATGTTATCACAGGCAGCAAAAATAAATATTTGAAAATATTAAAATGAATGATTTCAGTGTGAATTGAACATTGTCCTTCCTTCGGAAAGTACTTTAATGCAGACATTTTACTTGACTCACCCACATTACTAAAGCAAAATCTGAAAAAATTCAACTAAGCTTATCTTTAACCTAACCTAACAATTCCTTCACATTTATGATACGTCGCTGGCGCGCATTTTTCGGATCTATTCGTGTCGAAGTGTTATTGTTGAATAAATGATACAATGGCATATGAGTATATCATTGAGAGGGTGTAGACCAATTATTAATTATACTTTTCAATCAACTGCTGTACTTTCGATAGACGTTTCTTGACTTCCTATGACGTCAAAATGCATTTGTATTTTGATTTATCGATCATGAACTGTATCATTTCAGATATGCGTGGACAGTAATGCATTGCAAAATATGCTCAAATCATCTCGGATGGAAATTCACCAGTGATGTACTGAGGCCGAAAGCTTTCTATGGTTTGGCGAAAAACAGTTTCAAAGTAATTATCCACAAAAAACCGTCTTCTGATCATGATCACGATCACGATCTCTGGCGATGCGAAAGAAACACATTTACTAACGACTACATACATTTATAAGCAGGTAGGCTGATTTTAAGATTGATAGACTAAACAGGTTGATGAACTGCATTTTTCAGTGAATAATAAAGGTAGTTTCATCAATAGTCATTATATGACCCAAATTCTACGATAGTTTTTCATATGCAGGTGAATCCTCATTTATTTCTCGGTATAAATATTGATTTGTTTTTTTCTTCATTTGATTTTCAAGAGGTATAACAATCTTTGAAAATATATGTGATTCATGTACAAATATGTATTATAGAGAACAAAATGTGATTTATGTTTGAATAAAATAACGTTACACAATAATAGTGTCGTCTCTAGAAGCTGTGTGAATTGGGATAACATTATTTTTCTTTCTTAACCTTAACAAAATTCGGACGATTTCGAAATTAAACTGGTCACCATTGATAACGTCATGGTCCAAAATATAGCCTGAATTCAAAGTTGAATAACTCACGAATTTCCTTACCAATTTGAAATCGGTTTTCACCGATGATTAGCCTAATCTCTTGGCAGTTTGTTGTGGCAATATGAAACTTCTGTAATCTCAGATAACATTGCTACAGGGTGATAATTGGATGGGTGTAAAATTGCATCGTGGTCGTCACCTTACCGTTTGAACAGCATTTTTTTTTTTTTTCATTTTTTTTCTCATCTGTATCCTCTTAATGGAAGCTTTTTCTCGAAACATTTTCGGAATTTTCAGATTCAGAGCTTTGATAATCGTGTTATGAATATTCATTCAAAATGATGCATTTTTTCGACGATTGATTGAATGAAATTGGAAGTTGGAATTCTTTTTCGAAGAATCAACCTTGTATGTTCAGTCGTCGGATATGTGATCGTGTTCGAACACAGAAAATTCTGAAGTAGTCTATACAAAGTGATACAAGAAATACTGAATGATGGAATGGAGAATAACGTAGTCTTCAATAAATGAAGCATAATTTCCTCTGTGTTAATAGTGAATTAATGTAGGTAGTGTTACTTCATCATGAGGATGTCTAGTGTCTGACCTCGAAATGGTTTTGTAATTTCTCGGATCGAAGGTTATATAATGGAGGTACGCATAGATAAATTATAAAATTCGAAAAATTACGATTGTAGTTCCAGAACCAGAAGTATGAAATTTATATTAATTCTTGACGATGGATATACAGGGTGCGATAAAAAATATGTCCAGATTGTCCCGGAATGAAGAAGAATATGTTTAAACGTGATGAAAATCGCTATGTTCCGAGAAAGAGATATAGTGTCAGTTATTGTCGGAAATTGTGAAATATATAAATGCAGTAACTTATTTTCATGAAGCTTATACGAGGAAATATGAAAGAGATTGCAGAATTGCTATCGATTCGATAAAATGTTTTTCATACTAATGAAGATGAATTCAGTAAGTCCTCATGAGGCATATACGAGGCAATATGAAAGAGACTTCAAATATTGGAATGAAAGTCAATTAGGATTTTTTTGACGTGAGAAAATCAAAATAGCAATAATTGTAAGTATAAGTTAGGCAAGCAATTTTTTTTTCAACAGAATTGGTGAAATCTTCAGCAGCAGGTGAGATATTATAAATTCCTCATGAATCGCACTGTGAAAAAGATGATGCAGAAATTAACATTGAAGAGTTATTTTATCTCAATTCAACTTTACACTGAATGACTATGAGGAAATTGTCCTTCTGAAGACCATATTGTAGGTGCTAGATCAGTATGAGATACAATGGTGACAAGTATGCACGAATATATTGCAATTCTGAAGTCTCTTTCACATTACCTCGTATAAGCCTCATGAAGACTTACTGTATTTATCTTCATTAGTATGAAAAACATTTAATCATATCTATGGCAATTTTGAGGTCTCTTTTATATTTCCTCGTATAGGTAAGACTCATGAAAAGTTACTGTATTTATACATTTCACAATTTCCGACAATGACCGACACTATATCTCTTTTTCGGAACATATTACCTCGTATAAGCCTAATGAGAACTTACTGAACTTTTCTTTATTAGTATGAAAAACATTTTATCGAATCTATAGCAATTCTGCAATTTCTTTCATATTTCCTCGTATTAGCTTCATGATAAGTTACTGTATTTATACATTTCACAATTTCCTGACAATAACCTACACTTTATCTCTTTATAATTTATCTTAAAGAAAATGCATCATTTTGATTAAATATGCGTACCTTCATTACATGACCTTCGATCCGAAAAATTACAAAACTGTTTCGAGGTCAGACACCAGGCATCCTTATGACAAAGTAACACTCCATTATTTCACTAGTAACACAGAGAAAATTATGCTTCATCTCCATTCCATCATTCAGTATTTCTTGTATCACTTTGTATAGACTACTTCAGAATTTTCTGTGTTCGAACACGATCACATATCCGACGACTATACATACAAGGTTGATTCTTCGAAAAAGAATTCCAACTTCCAATTTCATTCAATTAATCGTCGAAAAAATGCATCATTCTGAATGAATATTCATAACACGATTATCAAAGCTCTAAATTTGGAAATTCCGAAAATGTTTCGAGAAAAATCTTCAATTAAGAGGATACAGATGAGAAAAAAAATGAAAAAAATTGTCTGTTCAAACGGTAAGGTTACGACCACGATGCAATTTTACACCCATTCAATTATCACCCTGTAGCAATGATATCTGAGATTACAGAAGTTTCATATTGCCACAACAAACTATCAAGAGATTAGGCTAATCATCGGTGAAAACCGATTTCAAATTGGTAAGGAAATTCGTGAGTTATTCAACTTTGAATTCAGGCTATATTTTGGATCACGACGTTATCAATGTTGAGCAGTTTATTTGAAACCTATTATAAATGTGGATATTGAAAAAGCATTTCAGAAGACATGATTTCGAAAAAATTAGTTTATTTTGTACAGAATATACAATTATTATAATATTTTACAATGATTAATGATAACAAAAATAAATATTTTGGTAAGTATCAGAGAATCAGTGGAGCGAAAAAAATAAAGCAAAACTACATTATATCATATTATATACATGATTGCAACTGAAGTAATAATAAATACATGTCTTGCTTGTTTCAACCTAATGATCCTTTGATAGCCATATATACAGGGTGGTAATCTAAGATAAATAACACAATCAGTCAGATTCCCTAATTAAACACTGAATTCTTGACATCAGGAGTAGAAAATCAATTTATGGCTTTCATACCAACTATTTTATCTTACAACATATGTTTTTTTATATCTATCAGTTTTCAGATAAAACAAAAGTTTTAGGTTGACATGAGTCATACCATCATTAGTTTATAAATTAATAGTCACCATTCAGTCTTTCATTCAACATTTGGTATTGATTCCATGAATAATCCAAATTAAAAATTGATCCTCGATCCCACATCCCACATAAATAACCGTTTCCCAACTAAATAAACAACAAAAACATCCTGTCAAATACCCAAAATACCACAACAATATTCAGGAATGCCAAAAAAATACGTATTTTAACTACTATCAAGATGCTCCTGGGTAGAGCTGAAAGATGAATAATAATTATTTAAATTGATTAGTATCTTTCGGGATATTGTCCAGAAGAAATGACATTGAGAGTGATATGAACATTTCTGATATCCTATACAATGCGTCCTTAGTTTATGTTGAACACGCTCCCAATTTGGCAACCCTGTGATATCAGAAGTTTTATCATCAGCTTTGATGCCCGCCAGTGTTTCATAGTCAATTTTTGTGAAGTTATTATTCATATGACGTGAATAATATGTTCACACATTTGCTTGTAATTAACACAGTCTAGTTGAGGGATAGTCGAATTACTTGTAGATGTATTTTTAAAATGAAAGTCCATCATGACAAAAATCATATTTCCGTATAGGGCAAAATTACGATCCGGGCTCTTACGAAACTTGAATGAGAGGTGAAATGCTTTGGAAAGAGGATTAGCAAGCCAAGAAGGGGACGAAGAAAAAAATCGGGAAACAAACCAAATGATTTAAAAATAACAACAATTTGATCTACTTCTGAAACTCATCAATGGCCGGCTTGGACACATTCGCTCTCAATTTACACAGTCTAGTTGATGAGGGATAGTATAATGTACTTGTTTAATTGCGAAATGAGATCCCTTAATGACAAAAATCACATTTTCCTATGGGGCAAAAGTACGTTATGGACTCTTAAGGAACTCTAAACCTTTGAAAAGAGAATTGGCAAGCCAAGAAGGGGAAAAAGAGAAGCCAACACAACGATTGAAACAAATAACGACAATTCGATCTTCTTGTTCTTCTGCCAATCTGCCCATTGATTGGATAGCATGTAAACATCTAGGGAGTAGGCTAGTTAGTATACAGTCAAATGCAAAGAAAATGTCGCGGTTGGATGGTGTTACCGCTCTTATTGCAAGGGACTAGAGGTGTTATCACCGCCCATAAGAGACATATTCGTTGCATCTGACTGTACAGTGTGTCTTAGCTAAAACTTGTCACCCCCAAATCTCCGATGTCGTTAAAAAAATTGAAAATCGCTCGGACAGGTCGATTTCAATGTGTCCCCCACTCATTTTTCTGCAATTATCATATTCCAAAGTTGAAATCTTGAAGCGTAACGAGCATCAATTCTCGATTTTCAAATGGAGCACCCTGTATTTCATTGCATTTTCAGATTCTCCTGAAGAGCTGCTTTCATCAACGTATCACACTTGGTGTCTAGCGGGAATGATTACAGAGATATAGGGTGTTCAAAATCGAGATTTATTCAACTTAAGGATTTTTTTGTGTGGAAACTATTCATTATTGGTCTGAACGACTCACATTTCCACATCTTACCTTTTGATTCACTATCTACTGATATTTAATTTAGATGAATACAGGCTAGTTCAAAATTTAGAATTATGAACCACCCTATATTCGTTCAAATTAAATATCAGTAGATAGTAAATCAAAAGTTAAGATAGAGATATGAAAGCCATTTTGACCGATGATGAATAGTTTCCACACAAAAAATCTTGAAGTTAAAAATCACCCTATATCTCTGTAATTATTCCCGCTACACAGCAAGTGTGATACATTGATGGAAGCAGCTCTTCAGGGAGAATCTAAAAATGCAATGAAATACACGGTGCTCCATTTGAAAATCGAGAGTTGATGTCCGTTACGCTTCACGCCAAATTGAATTCGATCTGTCCGAGCAATGTTCAATTTTTTTAACGACATCGGAGATTAGGGGGGGGTGACAAGTTTTAGCTGGGATACACTGTACATATAGCGGAAAATTCGAAGCAAA